TGAGGCTTTCTATTGTCCTCAGATGACTCTAATTGCAACTGAAATTTCATTAATCAGATATGTATATGGGTAACACCTAGGTTTCCAAAGTTGGTTGAGCATTGGAATTACCTGGGGTTCTGGTGAAAATACAAATCTCATGGTTCAATTTGCAACCTAATGAATCAGAATCACTAGGAGGAGGGATCTGTAGGGCCACCATATCCTTTCAGGATCTTAAAAAGTAATTATGGAGTCGTGAGTTGCTTAAAGTGGCCCTTCTAGTCCAAGCCTGGAGAGCTAGTGGAATAATGGGCTACTAATAGCAAGTCAAAAGCTCTGAAGAAGACGAGGTTTTTCTACTCCCATAAAAATTCACAGCCTCAGAACCCAAAGGGGCCATTCTAATCTTCCCTGTAGGGTCACAATTAGTAGGAATTGACTCAACAGTAGTGAGTTTAGTTTTTTCCACTCCTACCAAAGAGCTGGGTGCACACACAGTTATGCATATGTGAACTGCTAGTAGCCTATCAAGGAGATTAGTTAACTTGCTATTAATATAAACAAGGTACATGGCACCCTCATAAGGAATATGGAACTTTGTGGGGGTAGTAAATTTTTGTCACCCTATTAGGCTTAAAAATGAGTCACCTCAAAAGCAGAAGAGGGGATCTCACTATTATCCATAAAGAAGAGCCAGGAGTGGAGAACATTCTTTGAACCTGAGATCCCTTCACTGACCCTCCTGCAATGAGAACTCTGACAGTGAACGGTGGTGAGAAGGAGCGGCAGAGAAATGGTAGGAGCAGAGACAGCAGAACCCATGGAGCGAGAAAGCTGCATTTGGGCAAGAGACTTTTTGGCATAGTAGGGTGCCTCCAGGCACCTGATGAGCTAGGTTTGCCAATCCATGGAGCTAGCCCTGTGGTAGAGTTAGGTGCCCCATAGGCATTTATTTAGCACAGCTAAAAGCTTTGTAATACTTACCCAAGCAGGGCAGGGGCCAGGTCTGCATGTAGTGGTCCTATGAACTCTATCCTGAGTTGTTTCTGATTCTGAGTTGTAACCTGCTACTTCTCTAACCAATCTTATCATCATGAATACTGTCTGTGAATTCTGTGTGGCCATTGCAATGGATTATTGAACTCCACTGAGAAGTAGAGTGGCGCTGGAAGGATGGCTGATGTCAGAATTGGTAAATAGATCGGAGGGTGGAGGCATGCCTGACCTCCTCCTCATCGGAATCAGCCTTGGGCAGCTGATGCTCATGATTTTGATTCTCCTCGGCTCTTGTGAAATTGTAAGAGATTAGAATTAGATGCTACTGTCATACCAATTTTACATGCTGGTAGAGTCCACATACATATTAAGAAAAAGTAGTTGATTAATCTAATTTGTTTTTATTCTTTTGCTAAGGTCAGCTATACTGACCGAAGGGTGGCCTTGTATAAAGGTGAGAGGACATTCCAAAACATAAACTGCTTTTGTAGGGAGAAAACATATTTGAATGAATTACCATTAAAAAGGATAAAGCAGACTGTAAACATTCTAGAGAGAAGCAGATACATGAAAGTTGATTCCAATTTGTTCCTGAGGTCCAGCTGGAACTTCTGTCTACAGTTCTGCAACATGTCCTTGTAACTTAATAATAAGCAACCTTTTGCTGAAGCAAAAAATTTCAACCAAATTCAGTTTTTATTATTTATGACTAAAGGAGTACTAACCTATAGAACAGGTAATATACCCATAATTTTGGGAAATACGGTGCTGGGAAAGAGGGTATTCAAGTAAATTTTAACGGTAATTGAAGCATACATTTTAAAGTATGAAAACGCTTTGAAAGTATTTTGACATTGTTCTGCTCTCCTGCTGTGTTTGTTGTGAGGGAACATCAAGTTGGTTCTGACTCATAGTGACCCTAGGTGTAACACAACAAAGCACGCCTGGTCTTGCCCATCTCACCATGATTTCTGTTTGCGATCATTGTTGCAGCCAATGTGTCAATCATGTTGTTGTTAGGTGCATTTCAGCTGGTTCTTACTCAAAGCAACCCCATGTACACAAGAATGAAATAGCACCCACATCTGTGCCATCCTCACAAGTGTTCTTATGCTTTAGCTGAGTGCTGTAGCCACTGTGTCATTCCATCTCATCAAAGGATTTCTTCTGTTTCACTGCCCATTCACTTTACCAAGCACGATGTCCTTTTCTAGGGACTGGTCTATCCTGGTAACAAGTCCAAAGTACGTGAGACAAAGTCATGCCATCCTTGCCTCTAAGGAACATTTTGGGTGTACTTCTTCTAAAACAGATCTGTCTTAAAAGATCTAAGATCAAATGCATCAGTAGTTCTGCAGTCTTCTTTATACAATGTCCAGCCTTCACATGCATATGAGGCGACTGATAATACGATGGTCAGGCATACCTTAGTCCTTAGAGTAACATCCTTGCTTTTCAACACTTTCAAGAGGTCTTGTGCAGCAAATTTATCTAATATAATGCTTCATTTGATCTCTTGACTGCTGCTTCCATGAGCATTGATTGTGGATCCAAGCAAGGTAAAATTCTTGACAACTTCAACATTTCTCCATTTATCATGATGTTACCTAGTGGTCCAGTTGTGAGAATTTTGGTTTTCTTTCATTAGAGTTGCAATCCATACTGAAGGCTACAATCCTTGATCTTCATCAGCAAGTGCTTCAAGTCCTCCTCACTTTCAAAGAGCTAAGTTGTGTCATCCATACTAAATATAATAGGGCTCTTTCATAGTTATTTCAAATTGTCAAAAATGATCAATTAGAAGTTGCCATGAAAGAACTATATTATGTAAAAAATGATCAATTATGTGGTGAAGAGAGTGGATGGTGCCTGGCTATCAAAAGATACAGCGTTTGGGGTCTTAAAGGCTTGAAGTTAAACAAGCAAATAAGCCCACATGGAAGAAGCGCACCAGTCTGTGTGATCATGGGATATCCATGGGAGCAGGTATAAGGTATCAAACGATCCCAAACAAACAACTATATTGATGTGAATGAGGGGGGTTGGAGTGGAGACCCAAAGCCCATCTGTAGACAATTGGATGTCACCCATCAGAAGGGTTATAAGGAAGGGATGATTCAATCAAGATGCAGTATAGCGCCGATGAAACACATCATTCCCTCTAGTTCCTGAATGCGTCCTCCCCGCCCCCCACTATGACCCAGTTCTACCTTAAAAATCTGGCTAGACCAGCGAAAACACATTGGTACACACAAGGAATTCAGGACAGATAACCCCCCAAGGAACAGTAGTGGGAGTAGCAATATCATGAGGGTAGAGAGGTGGGCAGGGAGGGGGAACTCATCACAAGATTGGATACACAGCACCCACCTCCCCAAAGGGATGAATAACAGAAATGTGGGTGAATGGAGACAACAGACAGTATAAGATACGAAATAATAATAACAATATATAATTCACAAAGATGGGGCGGTTGGGGTAGGAAGGGGAAAAAAGAGGAGTTTATACCAAGGGCTCAAATAGAAAACGTTTTGGAAATTATGATGGCAACATATGTATAAATATGCTGGATACAGTTGATGTATGGAATGGAATGTTATAAGAGCTGTAAGAGCCCCCAATAAAATGATTAAAAAAAAAAAAACGATCAATTATTTTACCAAGCTTTAACACTGCAAAAAAAAAGTCTTCTAAAACTTCTGCGACACATACATCTATTCCTGTGATGATTAAGCCCATACTGCTATGGTTTACATGATTGTTTCATCTTTCTCTGGGCTAGTTATCATTTTTATGGCTGTCAGTATGATACTGATTCTAATCTACTGCCTTATCTGATACATAATTGTGTAGTAAAATGGTTTCCTTTTTTGGGGGCTTGGCAGTAGCCACCTTTTTTTTCCTTCCCCAAATGAAATTTTACCAGAACTCTAATGTGCAAAATGAACCTAAGAGGATGTGCATCGTGGAAGTGGAAGAGGAAGAGGAGGTCTGGAATTCTGCTGCTAAGCCCCCATACCTGCTGTCTAGTATTGAACACACAGAACCTGAAGGAACCCGGGGCACAACCAAACAGTTTCATGTTGCTGGTCCACTCTAAGAATGCCTAACTCGAATCTTACTTATATATTTAAAGGAAATGTCATGCTATCTTATAAAGAAAGCATCCCTGGTGGGGCAGAGATAAAAAGATTGTCAATCTACTTCCATAAATATTGCAGGTTTGGAAACTGTGAGGAGCAATTCTCCTTTGCCCTCTGGGGTCACTATGTGTCAAAACTGACTCAACAGAAAAAATGTCCTATTTTGTAGATATGACAAATAGAAGGTAACAGACAACAAACAAGTCCATGATCTTATTACCCAGTAGCTTCTATTACTGTACAAAAGGGCTTTGGAGTTTGTGAAAAAATGGAATGAAAAATCATGGAATTTTCACCCATATGATAACAAACAAAAATAAAAACTATTTGTTTGAACAATACAGAAATGTAAAAACTGAGAGCAAATACCTTCTTCAATGTTCTGCTTACCTTCCATCCTACCCAGACCTTCTCCTCAAAGGCAATCACTATGATTAAATCACTTTTGATTCTTGCTGCAACATATGAATGAATGTACCTACTGCTTTTATGTGTGTATAGGGTTTTTTAAAAAAAAAATTGTACCTATAAAGCAACCCAAGCCTACTGACCGAGTAGACCTGCCGGATAGGATTTCCAAGGCTGTAAGTCTGTTTTTTTGTGGCTGTAAGTCTTTACGGACACAGATTGCTACATCTTTTTCATTGAGTGGCTAGTGGGTTTGAATCCTCATCTATTAGTCGGCATTCAAGCTCTTTATCCATGGCATCACCGGGGCTCCTTATAAAAGGGATTACATCTTTACTCTGTCATTTGTTTGTTTGTTTGTTTGGCTTAATATTATATTGGTTGCTGCTAATGTCAACTTTTCTTCATTTTAATTATAGTGTCTGGGGAAAGAGGTACAAACACAAATACATATTGTTTTTAAAATCCTACCTTAGGAGAAGTTGAGAGATCTCTTCCTGCAGAAACAGTTGTATTGTCATTTACTCCTCCAAGCTTTGGTGAGACGACGGGCGGGGCGGGGGCCTTTCTTTTCACTCTCTTTTCGCACTCCTGTTCTTGAATGGGATTTACCAAATTATTTGGAGGAGTTGCTTTAGGTTCATAAAAAGGATTTGACCTAAGTAAAAGAAGAATTGTTAAAGTTTGCCCTCAAGATTTTTTTTTCCTGACAAAAACAATATATTCATTTTTAAAACTATAAAATATTCACAGAAAAACCCCAATGATAACCCACAATTCAGAAACAACCACTGTTAAAATTTTCTGTCCAGATAAAAATAAAAATTTACTCTATTAAAAAACTTCAAAAAAGGAAAAACAACAAAAACATAAAGTCAAACTTAAATCTATTACATAGATAGCCTTAAGAAAATGTGTGTGGTAATAATAAATCCTATGTATTCACCATACCCAATGAAAGGGAAATACCATATATACTCATGTATAAGTCAAGTTTTTCAGCACATTTTTAATGCAGTTTTTGTGGTAAAATTAGGTGCCTCTCTTACAGGCTTGAAGACAAACAGATGGCCATCTAGCTAAGAAACCACAAAACCCACAAGGAAGAAGCACACCAGCCTACCCCAACACGAATGCTGAAGACAAAGCAGGTACATAAGCAAATGCGGTGAAGAAAGCTGATGGTGCCAAGCTGTCAAATTACACAGAATCTGGGGTCCCACATGCTGGAAGATAAACAAGGGGCCATCTAACTGAGAAACAACAAAGCCCACATGGAAGAAGCACACCAGCCTGTAAGATGACAAGGCGGCGAAAGGGTCAGGTATCAGGCATCAAAGACAAAAAAAAAATCATAACATTGTGAATGAGGGGGAGTGCAGAGTGGGGACTCAGGGCCCATCTGGGGAAAATTGGACATCCCCTTGCGGAAGGGTTGCAGGGAGGTGAGGAGCAAATCGGAATGTAGTGTAGAAACGATGAAATATGCAATTTTCCTCTGATTCTTAAATGCTTCCTCCACCCCACTATCATGATCCCAATTCTACCTTACATATCCGGCTGGAATGGAGGAGGTGCACTGGCACAGATAGGAACTGGAAATACAGTGAACCCAGGACAGATGAACCCCCCAGGACCAGTGGAGAGTGTGGCGATATCGGGAGGGTAGAGGAAAGGAGAGGGAAAAAGGGGGAACAGAGGACAAGGTCTACATGTGGCCTCCCCCCTGGGGGACGGACAGTGGAGAAGTGGGTGAAGGAGACATGGGATGGGGCAAGATATGATAAAATAATAATAAATTATAAATTGTCGAGGGTTCGGGGGGAGCGGGGAGGGAGAGAGAAAAATGAGCTGAAACCAGGGGCTCAAGTGGAAAGTGGGTATCGTAAGAATGATGAAGTCAACATATGTACTAAAGTGCTGGACACAGATGACGTATGTACAGATTGTGATGAGTTGTATGAGCCCCTAATAAAATGATTATTTAAAAAAAAATTAGGTGCCTCGGCTGATATTCGGGTCGGCTTATATTCGAGCATACACAGTAAAATGTAGTCATGCTATTTGTTATACATACTTTTACACCCCTTTCTCAAAAATATTCCTTCACTTGAGTTAAAATCTCTTCTTGCTATGGGAACATCTTTGTAGTCCATTGAATGAAAATCTGTCAATATTGAATTCTCCAAGGTTTTTGAAAAGTCTTGTTTCAATTTCACTAGGAAATGACAGTGTAGCTGGGTAGAAAATTCTTTCTGTCGGTTTTCTTTTTCAGCATGAAGGTATTAGTTACTGTCTTAGAGCTTTCATTGTTATGTTGAAAACTCTACTCTCAGACTAATACTGTTCCTGTATAGGTCATCTTTCATCTCTGGCTACTGTGATGTGCTTTTTACAGCTGGATTTCTTTGCATTTATTTTTAGACTCCTTGTATTTCCTGAATCTGAAGATCCATGAGTTATATCAGTTCTGAAAAATTATCAATTGTTATTGATAGCCCCTTTTTTATTCTATTTCCTTTAGAAAATCTTATAAGTGAAACCTCCTACTTGCCCATGATTTCTGTCCTCTACTTCATACTTTTACAAATCATTATCCCATCTGTACTATATTTTTCCTGACATTTATGGTTTGGTTCACTTTTTCTCTATCTATTAGTCAAATCTAAAGTTCAACCTTCCATGAATTTTTAATGTAATCTACGCTTTATTTTTATTCAGTTTCTGCGTGTATAAGATACAGAGTTTTGAGATATTAATGATTTAAAAACATTATTTCATAGGTTCTATCAGATAAATCTACTATTTGAAGTTTTTGCATGTATAATCATGCTGTTTCTTTTGTCTGCTGATTCTTTCTCTTGGTAAATGGTTTTCTTATAGTTTGTAATTCTAGACTGTAAATTCAAGGTTTAATCTGAGGAAATCCTGTGTAGCCTAAACTGGGAGTGTCTTTCTTCAAAGCATTTATGTTCACAATGCCAAGTACTTTAGGAACCCCTCTGTATGTTACTTTTTTTGTTTTGGGGGTTCCCAGATCATCCCAGGCCTATGCTTATAAATTCTTAGGGAACAGCATTTTGTACATAGCAGTATTTACCTCTGTTGTCTTTAGCTCTTACAAACCAGCTATATACAAAATCCTGCAGCAGTTGGATCTACAAGTAGATGCGTGGATCTATGCATAGACTGAACAGGTAAGAGAGAGAGTGGGAGTATACTCAAGAACATAAAAGTTTGACAGAGAAATTTGTATATGTATACTTATATGGTGAAGCATACAGGGAACCAAATTATGAAAACTTCAGAAATATAACATTTAGAAAATTAGTTGCTGGGCCTCTTGGATCATGACCAGAGTCTTGGGGAACACCAAGGTCAACTGGCATAGCACAGTTCACAAAGAAAATTCTTTATCTCAATTTAGTGAGTGGCAATTGGGTCTTAAAAGCTCATGAGTAACCATCTAAGGTGCAACTATTGATCTCCACAGTCCTCATCTGGAGGAAAAAAATCAAAAGGCAGAAGAATTATTCTAATGGACTGCAGAAACATCGCTACCACAAAGCCAAGAACAGAAGAACTAGATGATACCCAGCTACTACTACCTACAGCTCCCAAAAGGGTCAAATTAAAAAGTAGGGAACAATGTGGAACAGAATTCAAAATCATAAATGAGACAGGCTTACTGGGTGGATAGAGACTGGTGAGACTCTCAAGACTCACCTGCTTTGCTCTGTCTACCCTTATTCACCCTCAGGTCTGGACCTGAACCTCCCCCCAAGTTAGAATAATCAGCCAGTTAATATCAAAAGGCAGCATTTACCCAAGGGCAGAGAGTTAGGAAAGGAGGAGGAATGGAAACAGAGAGGAAACCTGGTGAGTGATTGTTGGGATACCAGGGGCCACAACAATCAAATGGATCCTCAAGAGGGACAGTGGAAAATATTAAGGAAAGACAGACAGTAGGGCCAGGGTCTCCTGGTCCCATGTCAGGACTGAGAGAGAGAATGTATTTGCCAATGGGTATATATAATGGGGCTTACAGATCTTTCATAAGGTATGCACGTCATATAGCTAACATGTAACATAATTGATAGGTAACATCACAAGCAGGTAACAATAAAAAGCAATAAGGTGAATCATCACATTGACCTAGTGCTAGTTAGCCTCAAACCACTCTAAGCTCACCTCAGAGGCATGAACTCTGATCAGTATCATGAAGAGATGTCAAAACAGAGTTTTTTATATCTTATTAAGGCTGTTTGGCTATAGAACCTGATTGCTCTTATCTATAGATAACCTTCAAGTATTGTGAAGTAGCCAGACACAGGAATGATTCATCTTATATGGTAGCTCTTTATGACAGTTCCTTTATGGGGGGGGGGGTTATTGGAGGGACTGTGTCCAGTCATAAGAATGTGTATCAAGATTGATTTAGATCTCATAACTCTGAGGGTCTTCCCCCACCGGAGTCGGCTTTCCAGGCCTATAATTATGAGCTTAGAGGATTTAGCTGCATTACATTCTCATCCAGTCCCTCAGTTGACCACAGGTGTTTCTTGAAGAGCTACCTATGTCTTGGCATCCATTTTCCTCTGAGTCTAAAAGGCTCTCAGCACAGGAACCTGGTGTCTGAAAGACATGCTACACTCCTGGTTCTTCTACCTTGGTGATAGTAGACCCCTCTGATTTCTGCTCACTTGTTTTATCTCTTTTATATCTCAAAAGAGATTGGCACAAGATAAAGCCCAGCCCTCCAGGGTGTATCCTGGCTCATTCACACCACTACCTCTAATCTTGCTTCATTGAAATCATAGGAGCTGGAGTTTACAACATAGGATGACTACATTAGAACACACACACACAAAGGAGGATCATACAGAACACTGAGAATCCTCACTTAGTCAAATTGACATGTATGTTGGGGGGACAATTTAATCCATAGCCTTAAGCTCATAAAGAAGTGGGGCAAATAAACTAACAATCTCAATGTAAGGGGACACTTTAAAGAGATTGAATTACAACCACACAGTAGAGTATTGTGTAGCCTTAAAATTGTAGTGAGACACATCTCTAATTGATCCTGTGATGCACACTAACCCAACAAGTCATGAGGGTTCCTTACAAGGCTAATACGCTTTGTGAATTTACTTTTTGAACCTTCTCAAGGGCTCCTGTCAGAGTGGTCGTTATCACCCATCGTCTGCACACACTACAAACACAGGTTGTATTCAATGCTGTGCTTGTTTTCACTACAATGTCACCGTAATCAGTATTTCCAACCCTGCGTCAATAACTTTTGAGAATGCGCCAGTCATTTAAGGAAAAAGATAAAAAAATGTTTTAAAAGCTTCTGTTCGGTTACTAAGAACGTTGTCAACTAAGGTTGACATTTCATGGTAGTAAGATTTTACCAAAGAGTTTTGTTGTTTGTATTCAAATGATCTGAGCACTGTTACATGAAGACAATTTCCAAATACACATAATCAGATATTGTTCTATGGTCAAAATTGACAATAAACGTTACTGAGGGGTTTGTATGGTCTGATTAGAGAGGAGGTCCTTACAGGGAGGAGAGACACCATGAGGTACCACACTGGGTGACGCCATCCCTGCTGATGCCCCTGACTCGCTAGCCTGGGCTTGGCTTGAGGC